AAACAGTGATAATGCGTGAGTGTGGTGAAAGTGTTGAATATGATTGTAAGTATTTTCTTTTTTGAGGGATTTTCTTTCTTTTTTTGGTCACCCTGACCTCGTGGGGGACGGCCGACTTGTTGAAAAACAAAACTATTTGTATGTGTGTGTTGTGTGTGATATATAGTATATATATTTAAATAATATTATATATATATATATATATATATATATATAATGTATAAATATATATATATATATATATATATAATATATATATATATTTTTTTTTTTTTTTTTTTTTTTGTTTTTTTTTCAACAAAGTCGACCGTTCTCCCACCGAGGCAGGGTGACCCAAAAAAGAAAGAAAAATCCTCAAGAAAGAAAATACTTTCATCATCTTCAACACTTTCACCACACTCAGCACATTATCACTTTTTGGCAGAGGAGCTCAGATACAACAGTCCTAGAGCAACACATATAAAGATACACAAACATATCCCTCCAACCGCCAATATCCCCAAAACCCTCCTTTAAAGTGCCGGCATTGTACTTCCCATTTCAGACCAAGTCGACAATATGAAAATAACCGGATTCCGAAAATCCCTTCACTAAATATTACCCTGCTCACACTCCAACAGATCGTCAGTTCCAAGTACCATTCGTCTCCATTCACCCTATCTAACCGCTCACTCACGCTTCCTGGAAGTCCAAGCCCCTTACCCACAAAACCTCCTTTACCCCCTCTCTCCAACCCTTTTCGAGGACGACCCCTACCCGCCTTCCTTCCCCATAGATTATATGCTTCCATGTCATCTACTTTGATCCATTCTCTCTAAATGACCAAAACCACTCAACCAACCCCTCTTCTGCCTCCTACTAATACTTTATTAACTCCACACCTTACTCCGAATTTCTCACACTGTCCGAATTTTCTGCATAAATTTACACCACTACATTGCCCCTTAAACAGGACATTCTCCACTGCCTCCAACCGTCTCCTTGCTGCTGCATTTACACCCAAGCTTCCACACCCATATAAGAGTGTTGGTACACTATACTTCATACATTCCCTTCTTTGCCTCCATAGATAACATTTTTTTGACTCCACATATACTCAACGCACCACTCACCTTTTTTTCCCTCATAATTCTATGAATTAACCTCATCCTTCATAAATCCATCCGCCGACACGTCAACGCCAAGTATCTCAGAACATTCACTTCTTCCATTCTCCTCTCCCCAATTTGTTATCCATTTTCCTTTATCTAAATCATTTGGACACCCACATCACCTTACTCTTTTCTATGTTCACTTCAACTTTCTACCTTACACACACTCCCAACTCATCCACTACCTTTGCAATTTTTCTTTAGAATCTCCCATAAGCACAGTATCATCAGCAAAAAGTAACTTGTCAATTCCCATTTTGAATTTGATTCCCCATAATTTAAATCCCACCCCTCCCCATAACACCCTAGCATTTACTCCTTAACAACCCCATCTATAAATATATTAACAACCATGGTGACTTACACATCCCTGACTAAGACCTACTTTTACCGGAAATAGTCTCCCTCTCTTCTACACACTCCTAACCTGAGCCTCACTATCCTTCATAAAAACTCTTTACAGCACTTTAATAACTTACCACCTATCATATACTTGCAACATCTGCCACATTGCTCCTCTATCCACTCTATCATATGCCTTTTCTAAAAAAATTCCACCCATAAATGCAATAAAAATCTTCCCTACCTTATCAAATACTGTCTCATATTATGCTTTCAATGTAACACTTGGATCTACACATCCCCCTACCCACTCGAAACCTCCTTCTCATTCGCAATCCTACATTCTGTTCTTACCTCTAATTCTTTCGAATATAACCCCGTACCGTACACTTTTCCTGGTATACACAGTAAGCTTATTCCTCTAAAATTTTTACAATCTCTTATGTACCCCTTCTTTATATAAAGGGACTATACCATGCTCTCCGCACATCCCTAGGTACCTTCCCCTCTTTCATACATTTATTGAACAAAGTACCAACCACTCAACACTATATCCACCCCTGCTTTTAACTTTTCTGTCATGATCCCTCATACCAGCTGCTTTACCCCCGTTTCATTTTACTAATGCCTCACGTTACCTCCCCACACTTACATTCACTCTCTTCACTCCTAAAAGATGGTATACCATCCCTGACCATGCATGAAATTTACTGCCTCCTGTTCTTCCTTAACATTTAAAAGTTCCTCAAAATATTCTCGCCATCTACCTAATACCTCCATCTCCCCATCTACTAACTCCCCTACTCTGTTTTTAACTGACAAATCCATATTTCCCTGGCTTTCTTAACTTTTTAACTCACTCCAAAATTTTTTCTTATTTCATTAAAATTTCTTGACAGGCCTCTCCCACTCTATCATCGCTCTCCTTTTGCAATCTCTCATATCACTCACTTTACCTTTCTTTTACTCTCACTCCATAATAATCTATGCTCTTCTTATAACACTTCTGCTTTGTAAAAACCTCTCATAAGCTACCTTTTTCTCTTTTATATCACACCCTTTACTTCATCATATCCCACCAATTCACTCCTCATTCTCCTGCACCCACCCTCCTATAACCAAAAACTTCTGCCCCACATACTAATACTGCATTTTTAAAACTATTCCAACCCTCTTCAACCCCCCCATTACTCATCTTTTTGCACTAATCCCACCTTACTGCCAAATGAGTCGCTTATAATCTCACCCGAACTTCCTCCTCCCTTAGTTTATACACTTTCACCTCCCTCTTACTTTTGTTGCCCACCTTCCTCTTTTCCCAACTACTCTCTTACCTAACTGTAGCTACACTAAATAATGATCCGAGTATATCAGTTGGCCCCTCTAAAAACATGTACAACCAGGAGCCACCCTCAACCTTTTACCACCAATACATAATCTAATAAACTACTTTCATTACGTCTACATCATACCTGTATATATATATATAATTAGATATATATTTATATATATATATATATATTTTTATATATATATATATAAAATAATATATATATATATTAAAATACTATATATATATATATTTAGTTATTTATTTTATTTATTTATTTATTTTTATTTTTATTTTTTTATTATTTAATGAAACATGGGGGCCCTCGCCTAACCTATTAATCCATTCCGAGAGCTCAACGTAAAGCGAAATATTGTTAGCGAATTAAATTTTCCGCATAAGACATAATGGAACTCAAATTTAATCCGTCGTGAACACCCCCAGAGTATAACAAAAAAAATTTTTACCACATGAAATATTAATTTTAATACACACAAACTGAAGAAACATGCACATTTACATGACACTTTAATTTTATTTGAAGATCTGCATGATGATGGGATGGGAAGGAGGGAGACTGTGGATGGTTTTAATGTTTAGAAGGGAATCCCCCTTCATTAGGACTTGAGGTGGCAGGAATTTTTTTTTTAACATGGCCGTTTCCCACTGAGGCAGATTGACCCATAAAGAAAGAAAAAAAACTTTCATCATCATTCATAATGATGAAATACATAGGTATTAGTAAATAACTGTACATACCTGTAGTTCCTTTTTATACTTACCATCTTTTTATTGATTTTTGTGTTATTAAAATGATACACAAAAAATATTTTAAGAAAAAATATTATTGAAAGGATTTAGTGCACTTATTACAAAATAATGCTTTGAGGGAGGTTATATTGGTCGAGATTGGTGCTACCACTTTTCACTGGCTGTTGAACAAGTTCAGAGACTTGTGTCATGAATTTCCAAAAACTGTAGAACTTTTTTTTGCAGTCCTTTTCAGAAGTGTTTATTTTAGAGGTCCTATCATTCACTTCCTTTGGACATGCATATTTTATACCAAGGTCACATAATCTGACATATGAGAAGACTGGGGTTCGGCTTTGGTATGTTTTAAAAGATAGTACATTCATCTTTAATGGTGGGTTAGGAGGCAGAGGCATGCTTTATATATACCTCTATTGGCTCTGCTTTGTTAGGTCTCGGAGCTAATAATTATTATTTAATTTTGAGAGAGTATAGTTATACCAATGCTCTTGTATGGGTGTGAGGCATGAGTTGTGAATGTTGCAACAAGGAAAAGGCTGGAGACAGTGGAGATGTCATGTCTGAGTGGATGTGTGGTGTGAATATAATGAAGAGAATCTGTAGTTTGGAGATTAGGAGGAGGTGTTGGATTACTAAAACTATTATCCAGAAGGCTGAGGAGGGGTTATTGAGATAGTTTGGACATGTAGAGAGGATGGAACAAAATGAATGACTTGGAGTATACAGTTCTGTAGTGGAGGGAAGGCAGGGTAGGGGTCTGCCTAGGAAAAGTTGGATGGAGGGGTACAGGAGGTTTTGTGTGCCAGGGGCTTGGACTTTCAGCAAGCGTGCATGAGTGTGTTAGAAGACAGGACCGAATGGAGACAAATGGTTTTTAGGACTTGACGTGCTGTTGGAGTGTAAGCAAGGTAACATTTATGAAGGGATTCGGGGAAACTGGCAGGCTGGACTTGAGTCCTGGAAATGGGAAGTACAGTGTCTGCATTCTGAAGGAGGGATGTTAATGTTGCAGTTTTATAACTGTAGTGTAGGCATGCCTCTGGCAAGACAGTGATGGAGTGAATGATGATGGAAGTTTTTCTTTTTCGGGCAACCCTGCCTTGGTGGGAAACGGCTGATGTGTTAATAAATAAAATAATTTTTTCACACAGCACTTTAGGCTTATAGTTGGCCTCGTGTAAGAATGGCACCACTATTATCTTATACATACACTTCTTTTCTTGTCTCTCTCTCACTCTACCTGTGTGTGTATCTCTGTCTGCCTGTCTTTCTCTCTCTGTCTCAGAGAAAACCACTCATGCTGCCTTGGTGGGAAATGGCCATTGTGTTAACAAAATAAAAGTTCTGTAGTGTGCTGTGCTTTTGTGTATACAGTATCCTTTTTGTAGAGCTACAGATAATCGAATATGCTGTACCTGTTTGTGATCAAACTAGGTGAGTACTGATAGGAAGTGTGTCTCATGCTCACAAAATGGAAGATCATGTCTTGTGCTGAATAACCCCATGTGGGTTTAGCATTTAACATGATTAAAAATTTAAAAAATATGCTCATTTGTAATATCTACACATGCATTTTTGCAGAGGTCTTTCATTTTGTTTTTTTTGTTAGACAGGGTCAGCAAACAGACTCGACCTTCATAGTCTTAAGTGGAAGATTGCGATCTGTAATCACTCACAAGGATGGCAGGAAGGAAGTGGTGGCAGAATATGGCAAAGGTGACCTTGTAGGCATTGTAAGTATTAACCCCTAAACTGTGGCATTCCTGCAAATAATAATTCCTGTACGTGGGGGAAGATTTTGAAAGTCTTTTTCTTATACAGTGGACCCTTGATTATCAGCCCTAATTCGTTCCAGAAGGTCAGCCTAAATCCGAAGAGGCTAAAAACCGAAATAATGTTTCCCATAAGAATTAATGTAAGTCCAATTAATCTGTTTCAGACACCCAAAAATATTAACAAAAAAAACATTTTTTAAAGATTAACTTTAGTTGTGCATTCAGAAAACAATGAGTGTAGTGTAGTGTAGCCCCCTGGGCTACACTACACTACACTTTATTACACTTCACAGCCATATTATTACACTTCACAGCCACATTATTACACTTCACAGCCACATTATTACACTTCACAGCCACATTATTACACTTCACAGCCACATTATTACACTTCACAGCCATATTATTACACTTCACAGCCACTATTACTTCACAGCCACATTACACTCAAGCATATTACATTCATGATTTATTACCATGTTCACTGAGTTGAGTCGTTTCTAACAACTACCTTCAGATGCCATCATAAACAAAGGGAGAAGTAATAAATAATTCATGTCAAGAATTGTAAACAAATGCATGTGAAGGGCAGTTACTGTGCAAGACACCAGATTCACAGTTTTCTCTAATGCTGAATCAAAGAAAATATAATGTTTTTTCTCCACTAAACTCTCCACTTGATAGCATATAAACATTGCATGTTTATATGCTGTGTGCTATGTAACGTGTTTCTTATATAATTTTGAAGAAAACATCATAGATGGGTTAATGAAAATGTCTATATTAACCTAGAATAAGACATTTAATGTGCTGAGAAGTGATTTATTACGCGTCCAATACTGCCGATCTCCGAAATAATGGCCGATAACCGGGATAGAATTTCAACCAAAAAAGCGGTCGAAAACTGAACTGGCTGATATCTGGAATGGCCGATAACCGAGGGTCCACAGTAGGATGAAAGTGTTTATTTGTCTGAATTAAATAAGATTAAAATGAGTAGAATCTGATGAAGAATTATTATTTTAGGCGATGTTCAAGTTACTGAAAAAATGGCAACTCATCAGCAACAGCGTCATAAATACACCAGTGAAATTTGTTCTACAATTTATGCCAAGATATGATTATTTTTCTGTTTTTGAATTGCTTTTAATGTGTAACAATATGTACATAGTTTCTTATGATATTAGGTGTATTTAAAGATGTTTAGCACTTCAAACATGGGAAAATGCTTAGCCCAACAATGCTTCACTTGGAAGAAGTGGTATATATGTGGTATAATTGTTTTTTATTCTACTTTTTTTTACTATTTTGATTTTCTAGTGCTGTGTACAAGAAATACTTATAATACAGCCTCTCCTCAGTGACATATTCGTTTATCGATGACACGGACCTATGACAGGCTCTCTGACCAGTATGCATACCTTTTTTTTTATTCTTTTTTTTTCCAACAAGTCGGTCGTCTCCCCCCGAGGCAGGGTGCCCCAAAAAAAGAAAAAAAAATCCCAAAAAGAAAATACTTTCTTCATCATTCAACACTTTCACCCCACTCACACATTATCACTGCTTTTGCAGAGGTGCCCAGAATACAACAGTTTTAGAAGCATATACATATAAAGATACACAACATATCCCTCCAAACTGCCAATATCCCAAACCACTCCTTTAAAGTGCAGGCATTGTACTTCCCATTTCCAGGACTCAAGTCCGACTATATAAAAAATAACCGGTTTTCCTGAACCCCTTTTCATAAATATTACCCTGTCACACCCCAACAGATCGTCAGGTCCAAGTATCATTCGTCTCCATTCACCTATCTAACACGCTCATGCACGCTTGCTGGAAGTCCAAGCCCCTCGCCCACAAAACCTCCTTTACCCCTCTTTCCAACCCTTTCGAGGACGACCCCTACCCCTTTTTCCCTTCCCCTTAGATTTATATGCTTTCCATGTCATTCTACTTTGATCCATTCTCTCTAAAGACCAAACCACCTCAAAAAACCCCTCTTCTGCCCTCTTACTAATACTTTTATTAACTCCACACCTTCTCCTAATTTCCACACTCCGAATTTTCTGCATAATATTTACACCACACATTGCCCTTAGACAGGACATCTCCACTGCCTCCAACCGTCTCCTCGCTGCTGCATACCTAAATAATGTATATTAGAGCTGATTCCCTCTAGTCTGTATAAACATTTAAAAATATACCAGAAATGTTATAAATGGTGCAAAGGTGACATTAAAACAATATCAAAGATGGTTGACATAAACCCACTACCATTATAGTACGCTCCTCACTTAGTGACAGATTCACTTACCGACGTGGTTTTAGGAGCGGAACTCCATTGTTAAGTGAGGAGGGGCTGTGTTACAATTGTGTTGTAATGTGTTAAAGAGTGTAATACTTCTCAAAGCATGGAAATAAGTCAATGTTGGATTTTCCTGGGTTATCCTGGGTTAAATATACTTAGTATGATTTGTGGCTGAATTCCACTATTAGTATCATGAAATTGTAATAAATTTGGAATGAATAAGTCATCTTTGTGCCATTCCACACCTGTTTGTTGGCAGGGAAGCTGGTGGAGGAACAACAGCTCCTGATTTCATTGTTTACTTTTGCTAGTTAGGTGTACTTATATGTCGGATACTGTCATCACCTGTTTAGTTAACCATAATTTAATAACATATGAATATGAATATGAATATGAATATGTATATGAATACTTTTGTTTAATAAATGTATGAAAGAGGGGAAGGTACCTAGGGATTGGCGGAGAGCATGTATAGTCCCTTTATATAAAGGGAAAGGGGACAAAAGAGACTGTAAAAATTATAGAGGAATAAGCTTACTGAGTATACCAGGAAAAGTGTACGGTAGGGTTATAATTGAAAGAATTAGAGGTAAGACAGAATGTAGGATTGCGGATGAGCAAGGAGGTTTTAGAGTGGGTAGGGGATGTGTAGATCAGGTGTTTACATTGAAGCATATATGTGAACAGTATTTAGATAAAGATAGGGAAGTTTTTATTGCATTTATGGATTTAGAAAAGGCATATGATAGAGTGGATAGAGGAGCAATGTGGCAGATGTTGCAAGTATATAGAATAGGTGGTAAGTTATTAAATGCTGTAAAGAGTTTTTATGAGGATAGTGAGGCTCAGGTTAGGGTGTGTAGAAGAGAGGGAGAATACTTCCCAGTAAAAGTAGGTCTTAGACAGGGATGTGTAATGTCACCATGGTTGTTTAATATATTTATAGATGGGGTTATAAAGGAAGTAAATGCTAGGGTGTTTGGGAGAGGGGTGGGATTAAATTATGGGAATCAAATTCAAAATGGGAATTGACACAGTTACTTTTTGCTGATGATACTGTGCTTATGGGAGATTCTAAAGAAAAATTGCAAAGGTTAGTGGATGAGTTTGGGAATGTGTGTAAAGGTAGAAAGTTGAAAGTGAACATAGAAAAGAGTAAGGTGATGAGGGTGTCAAATGATTTAGATAAAGAAAAATTGGATATCAAATTGGGGAGGAGGAGTATGGAAGAAGTGAATGTTTTCAGATACTTGGGAGTTGACGTGTCGGCGGATGGATTTATGAAGGATGAGGTTAATCATAGAATTGATGAGGGAAAAAAGGTGAGTGGTGCGTTGAGGTATATGTGGAGATAAAAAAACGTTATCTATGGAGGCAAAGAAGGGAATGTATGAAAGTATAGTAGTACCAACACTCTTATATGGGTGTGAAGCTTGGGTGGTAAATGCAGCAGCGAGGAGACGGTTGGAGGCAGTGGAGATGTCCTGTTTAAGGGCAATGTGTGGTTGTAAATATTATGCAGAAAATTCGGAGTGTGGAAATTAGGAGAAGGTGTGGAGTTAATAAAAGTATTAGTCAGAGGGCAGAAGAGGGGTTGTTGAGGTGGTTTGGTCATTTAGAGAGAATGGATCAAAGTAGAATGACATGGAAAGCATATAAATCTATAGGGGAAGGAAGGAGGGGTAGGGGTCGTCCTCGAAAGGGTTGGAGAGAGGGGGTAAAGGAGGTTTTGTGGGTAAGGGGCTTGGACTTCCAGCAAGCGTGCGTGAGCGTGTTAGATAGGAGTGAATGGAGACGAATGGTACTTGGGACCTGACGATCTGTTGGAGTGTGAGCAGGGTAATATTTAGTGAAGGGATTCAGGGAAACCGGTTATTTTCATATAGTCGGACTTGAGTCCTGGAAATGGGAAGTACAATGCCTGCACTTTAAAGGAGTGGTTTGGGATATTGGCCGTTTGGAGGGATATGTTGTGTATCTTTATACGTATATGCTTCTAAACTGTTGTATTCTGGGCACCTCTGCAAAAGCAGTGATAATGTGTGAGTGTGGTGAAAGTGTTGAATGATGATGAAAGTATTTTCTTTTTGGGGATTTTCTTTCTTTTTTGGGTCACCCTGCCTCGGTGGGAGACGGCCGACTTGTTGGAAAAAAAAAAAAAAAAAAAATGAATAGATTGTAGAAAACCCAAATATCCCACACCCCACCTCACAACCCCCTCACCTCACAGCCTCCCACCTCACAGCCCCCCTCCTCGAGCTCCTTCCTGCCCTCTTTCCACGGATCCCCAACTCTCAGCCCTGCCCCACCTCCCAGCCCACCCATAGCAACCCACCACGTACACCTGCCCAGGAAGTGAAAATGGCTAGAAATTCAGTCTGTTGTATATGTGAAAAAAATTTGAGGAGAAATATTAGGGGCATTGATTGCGAAATATGTGGAAAAACATCCCATATATCATGTACAAAGCTTCATGCAACCACGAGAAATGACCCAAAACAAGAAAGTCGATTCTGGATTTGCCCCAGTGAGATGGAAAGCTGGTCGGGCATAAAAGGGGTACTAAAAAGTGAAGACCTAGAAAGCATAAGAAAGTTTCTAAGGAGCTTGCCAGATATATACAAAGAGTGGAAAACAAGAGGTAAGG